TATTTAATAAATAAATAAATATAAATAAATAAATAAATATTATTTATTATTATATTTATATTTATTTAATAAGAAGTTCGTCGCCTTTTTATTTATAGCAGCAGCAGCTGCTGCATGCATTTAAATACTTAAGGCCCAAAGCGCTGCTGCTGCTGCTGCTGCTGTTGCTGCTGCTGCTGCTGCTGCTGTTGCTGCTGCTGCTGCTGCTCCAAGACCACGCGTTCCTAAAACTTCATTCATTAGAGACAAACAACGGAGTGTACGGACAGCTGCAGCGACACCAAAGGCCAATGCTGCTGCTGCTGCTGCTGCTGCTGTTGCTGCTGCTGCTGCAGCTGCTGCTATTGTTGTTGCTGCTGCTGCTGCTGCTTCTGCGGATGTTGATGTTGATGCTGATGTTGATGTTTGGTTAGATGTTTAGTTTGCTGCTGTTCTCCTCTAATGTCTTCCTTTCTTCTATTGCTGCTGCTGTTATTGCTGCTGTTGCTGCTGCTAGTGCTGTTGCTGCTGCTGCTGCTGCTGCTGCTGCAACAGCAGCAGCACCAGCATCCATTGAAGCTCCTGCTGCTACAATATTTTAGTAGGAAGACAACACAGAGGAGGAGGAGCGGCTTCCTGCTGCTGCAGCTGTTGCTGCTGCTGCTGTTTCTGCTGCTGCTGCTGCTGCTGCTGCTGTCGCAGCTTTCGCAGTTGCTGCAGTATATGCCGAGGGAGGGAAAGGGGGGAAGGGAAGGGGGAAATATAGTGTATATAAATGTAATATAACTACGTTTATGTATATAATTATTTAATTAATTAAATTAATTAATTAAATTAATTAAATTAATTAATTAAATTAATTAATTAAATTAATTAATTAAATTAATTAATTAAATTAATTAATTAAATTAATAAATTATATAATTAAGCATAGGTGCCTATACACCTGAATGAATTGGGGTGTATAGGCAGCTCATGTATATTACTAGATAGATAGATGAATAAATAGGGGAAAAAATAGATAAATAGAATAAAATAGATAAAATAAATAAATAAATAAATAATATAAATAAATAAATAAATAAATAAATGAATATATTTATTCATTTAGCCATTTACTATTTAATACATCTGCTGCTGTTGGTCTTGTTGCTGCATCTACTCTTAGCATATTTTTTATTAATTCTTTTGCTGCTGCTGGTACTTCTCTCCATTCCTCAGCAGCAAATACTTCATCTAGTCTTGCTGCTACTGCTGCTTCTGCTGCTGCTGTTGCTGCAGCAGCAGCAGCAGCAGCTTTCTCTGCTGCTTCTGCTCCTGTACAACCCTCATGACATATACAGCAGCAACATACATCTGCTGTTGTTGCTGCTGTTGCTGCTTCTGCTGTTGCTGCTGCTTCTGTTGTTGTTGTTGCTGTTGTTGCTGCTGCTGTTTCTGTGTTATTATTCTCTGTTGCTGCTGTTGCTGCTGCTGCTGCTGCACCACCTTGTTGACCACTCATTGGTGATCTTTTTTTCCTGCTGCAGTTGCTGCTGTTGCTGCTGTTGCAATTACAGCAGCAATTACAGCATTTATTATTATTATTACAACAACAACAGCAACAACAGCAACTATTGCTGCTATTGCTGTTGCTGCTGCTGCTGCTGCTGCTGCTGCTGCTACGTATATGATTTAATATGTTAGTACCCTCAAAGGGAGAATGACCAGACAGCAGCAAACATAAAACTATTGCTGCTGCCCATATATCTCCCTCTACACCAGTTGAATTCTGTACAAATACCTCAGGAGGCCTGCAGCAGCAGCAGCAGCAGCAGCAGCAGCAGCAGCAGCAGCAACAGCAGCAGCAGCAGCAACAGCAACAGCAGCAGCAGAAGAAGAAGAAGATGATGATACAAAGAGAATGAGAGAACAGATAGTCCTATGTATATATATAAATATTCACCAGCAACATAACAACAGCAGCAGCAACAGCAGCAGCAGCAGCAGCAGCAGGAAGAGATGTTCTTACATATACATTGCTGTTCCTGCTGGGGATGCCTCAGGTCTGCAGGTACCAACATTATACCTATTAAGACTGCTCCTCTTGCTGCTGCTGCTGCTGCTGCTGCTGTTGCTGCAACAATTGCAACAACAACATTTGCTGCACCTACTACTACTACTACTGCTGCTGCTGCTGCTGCTGCTGCTGCTGCTGCTGCTGCGGTTAATTGGCTCTAAGATCTCAGCAGATCCAAAATCAATAAGAGCAATATCTACATAAGAAGACATATCATACATACAACTCTTGCTGCTGCTGCTGCTGCTGCTGCTGCTGCTGCTGGTGGTGGTGGTGGTATTACTACCATCAGCAGCATCAGCAGCAGCAGCAGCAGCAGGAGCAGGAGGAGGAGGAGGAGGAGGAGGAGGAGGAGGAGGCATATTTTTTAATACAATATTCTCTAATTTAATATCATTATGTACAATTCCTTGTTGATGCAAAAAGTGCAAAACTTCCATCAATTGTATAAATATTTTCTTTATACTATTTATATCTAATAATTTATTATTATTATATATATTATTATTATTTATATTATTATTTATATTTATATTTATATTATTATTATTATTTATATTATTATTATCTATATTATGATGTATTATACCTGTATTATTATGAATATTATTATCTATATAATTATAATTACTTATATAATTATGTATATAATTATTAATATAATTATAATTATTAATATAATTATTATTATTATTAATATAATTATTAATATAATTATAATTATTATTAATATAATTATAATTATAATTATAATTATAATTAAATATATATTTATATAAATCAGGACCATATAGATACTCCATAACAATCCATAAACCATAGAAATAATCATCATATAAATATAAATGTTTAATTAAATGTTTATGTTTTATTTTTATTAATTTTTTATATAATTTCTTCTTTATTCTTATATTATTATCATCTACTATTTGTTTTACACATAATGGTATATTATATATATTATTATTATTATTATTATTGTTGTTGTTGTTGCTGCTGTTGCTGCTGCTGCTGCTGCTGCTGCTTATTGTGGTTCTATTGATGTATGTAATATTGTCTTGTATTGATAAAGGTACTGATGATATACCTGTTGCTGCTGTTTGTGTTGCTGTTGCTGCTGCTGCTGCTGCTGCTGTTGCTGCTGCTGCTGCTGCAGGAGGAGGAGAAGAAGGAGGAGAAGGAGGAGGAATAAGAGAATAACACCTGTATACAAAGCTTTGGGATCCAACACCAATTAAATCTCCTAAAGAAAATAATTGGCAAAAATTTACATATTTATCTCCTCCTCCTCCTGCTGCTGCTGCTGCACTTGCTGCTGCACTTGCTGCTGCTGCTGCTGCATTTGTTGTTGGTGTTGTTGTTGCTAAGGATAATGTTGTTGTTGTACTTGTTGATGATACACCTGTTGTTACTAATCCTTTTGTTGTACCTGTTACTCCTGCTGCTGTTGTTGCTGTTGCACCTGTTATTCCTGCTGCAGCTGCTGCTGCTGCAGCAGCTGCTGCTGATGGTACCTGTAGATGTTCATCAAGTTCGTCTGCTGTTGACGCCTCTGATGAATGAGAAGGAGAAGAGAGACAAAAAGGGCGACATAATTTATCCAGTCGCTGCTGCTGTACTTGCTGCTGCTGCTGCTGTACTTGCTGCTGATGCTGCTGATGCTGCTGCTGATGCAACAGATGAAGATGTTGCTGCTGCTGCTGCTGCTGCTGCTGCTGCTGCTGCTGCTGCTGCAATTCATCTTCGCAACGAAGAGGATTTCTCCTCTTTGGTATCGGAAGGGTTAAACGACGGCTGCTGCTGCTGCTGCTGCAACAACGACGACCGCCACAACTGCTGCTGCTGCTGCTGCTGCTGCTGCTGTTGTTGTTGTTATTGTTATTGTTGTTGTTGTTGCTGTTGCTGTTGCTGTTGTTGCTGTTGCTGTTGTTGTTGTTGGTGGTGGTGGTGTTGGTGGTGGTGTTGTTATCGCAACAAGTTATGCTACTGCTGTTGCTGCTGTTGCTGCTCGTGCTACTGCTGCTGCTGCTGCTGCTGCACGGCTCAGCAGGTGGTGGCCCTATGGCCTTCAATAACGGAATGTCTGTTTGCATTGCTGCTGCTGCTGCTGCTGCTGCTGCTGCTGCTGCAAATGCTGCAAATGCTGCTGCTGTTATATTTATGCTGCTGGTGCTGATGCTACTACTACTTTTCCTGCTGCTGCTGCTGCTGCTGCTGCTGTTGCTGCTGCTGTTCAAGGATAATAAACACAGGACCTGCAGCAAAAGGCCCGTGGCATTTTGCTGCTGCACAAATATAAACAAAGATAAAGAAGCCTGTAACTTTGCACAGGCAAAGACACAAACTGCTGCTGCTGCTGCTGCTGCTGCTGCTGCTGCTGCTGCTGCAGCTGCTGCAGCAACTGCTGCTGCTAAGTTTGCCTATCTTAATGCTACTGCAGATGCTGCTGTTGCTACTGTTGCTGCTGATATTTATGTTGCTGCTGCTGCTGCTGCTGCTACTACTACTACTGCAGCTAAAACAGACACGGTTGCTGAATCTGCTGCTGCTGCTGCTGCTGCTTCTGCTGCTGCAGATTCAACAAAATGCTGCAGATGCTACAGTTGCTACGGATCCTGCTGCTGCTCCTGCAGAAAGCTTTTCCTTGCTGCAGGCGCTTCAAGGAACACTGTTGCTGCTGTTGCTGCTGCTGCTGCTGCTGCTGCTGCTGCAGCTGCTGCTGCTGCAATAACAGCTAGCTACTGCTACTGCTGCTGATTGCTGCACAGCAATCAGCAGCAGGAAACAAAACGAAGAAGACGACGACAGATATATATTTATTTATTTATTTTATTTATTTTTATTTATTTATTTTATTTATTTATATTTATTTAATTTATATTTATTTATTTATTTATTTATTTATTTATTTATTTAAATTATTTTTCCCCGCCGCTATGAGAGCGCCAGAGAGTAAAAGCGGAAAAAGAGCGCAGCGGCTTTTTCCCCGAAGGAGAGGCTGCTGCTGCTGCTGCTGCTGCTGCTGCTGCTGCTGCTGCTGTTGCTGCTGCTAATGCTGCAGCAGCTGTTGCTGCAGCTATGACAACAGCTCTGTTGCTGCTGCTGTTGCTGCGGATTAAGCAGCAGCAAAGGAAGCTGCTGCTTGAAACGCTGCGGTAGTACACGCCTATGCGGTGCTGCAGCAGCAGCAGCTGCTGCTGCTGCTGCTGCTGCTACTTCTACTGCTGCTGCTGCTGCCAAGACAGTTGCACCTGGATGGTGCCTCGACGAATGCAGCACGAAGCGCTGCAGAAAGCGGAGTGCTGTTGCTGCTGTTGCTGCTGTCTGCAGTGTCTTTGCTGCTGCAGCAGGCGGCCCAGCTAGGGGTTTGCTGCTATTTGCTGCTGCGTTAATAATAAGAAAGAAGTCGGTCTGCTGCTACTGCTGCTGCTGCTGCTGCTGCTGCTACTGCTGCTACTGTTGCTACTGTTGCTACTGTTGCTGCTGTTGCTGCTGCGGCAGCGTCGTAAGCTTTTTGCTGCAAGCACTGGAGACGGGCTGCAGCTTAGGTGCGTTGCTGCTGAATGCGCTTAGCAGCTGCTAGTTTTCTTGCTGCTGCTGCTGCTGCTGCTGCTGCAGTTGCTGCTGCTGCCGTTGCTACTGCTGCTGCTGCTGTTGCTGCTGCTGCTGTTGCTGCAGATCTGTTGGACGTCTGCTGCTTATGCTGCGGAATCGGAAGTGTTGACCAGTTACGGTAAACACTTGCAAGTGACCCCAGCTGCTGCTGCTGCTGCTGCTGCTGCTGCTGCTGCTGTGGGTAACGAAGAGAAATACAGATAAGAAGGCGGAGACGGACAAATAGATAAATAGATAAACGGAAAAGTATATCTTAATAGAAGAAAAGAAGTTTGCTGCTGCTGCTGCAGTTTGCTGCTGCTGCTAAGAATGCATGCAGCAGCACCCCGCAAGTATGTCTGCGTGTGTGTGTGTGTGTGTATATGTGTGTGTATATATGTGTGTGTATATCTGCGGTGTATAGGGAGGTAAAAGAGAGATAAATATAAATAAAGAATAAAGAAAAAGAAATACTTTTATTATATTGCTGCTATTCTTTCCTTAATTAGCAGCAAGAAAAAAAAAAAAAAAAAAAAAATTATTTATT